CAGGCCAAGTCCTACGGAGAGCAGGTCAATGAAACTCGATTGATGGAGCATGCCTGCTTGATAGAGTTCGGGTATGCGAAAAGTGAATATGATACAGCAGCATGGGCGACCATAAGCGTTCACGATTTCCACGCACGGTATTGAAACATGTCTGACACACACGGCAGACACTAGGGGAACCATGTGCCACTGTGAGCTTCCAGGCGAGGTCGGAGGCGATCGGCTGTGTGGCTATCTACTTGCCGCCTCGTCAGACAGCAGCTCATTGCGAAAGAGATACGAGCAAGCTTGTCGACGCACGGCGAAGTTGTCTACAAGAGGTCATAGAAGAGACGTGAGAAAACCTAGTATACCTTTATTGTGTATGGTTCTGAGCGAGGGGCTCACAAGCAGTACAGAAGATCGAGTTGCAGGACCGCTTGGCACTGGCAAGGAGAGCTACGCTAGTATTCAATTGCGGCCATGTCTTTCAGGCTGGGGGCTCACATCAGCACATACGCACTTCACGAATCCACCAAGCTACGTGGGCAACACTAACGCGAGCTACATCGACCACATGTGCGTTCCTGGTGAGATGGTTGGCTGCATTGAGCGTTGCATAATATTATGTGAAGCAGGTCGCAGGCTACAGTTGCATGGCACTGGTGAGGTTCGTGATCACAGACCCATTCAGATGGTTGCGAGACTTGTTACATCACTTGGCCCCTTTCCCGAGAGACCTCCTCGTCCGAGTCGTGAGGCACTTCAACAAGGTCACCTTCGACAGGAGCCGTTCAGCACAATCAAAACATAACGCATGGAGCAGCACACTGAACTAAGTGAAATGGAGGCGAAAAAAGACTTGGAGGAAATAAACAAACGGTTTGTTGAGATTGTGAACAGTTATGTGGCAGAAATATTGCACGCGAGCCCGCACTATACCGAGGACCGACAGCAACAAGCACAATATCTGGGCAACATGTTATCAGTTCGGCGAACTCTTGGAGATCCAGGTTTTTGGGCAGACAATGATCTACGTGTTGACTACCTTTCAAAGTATCATGCACTTGAGTAAGAAGTTGAAGACGTCGAATCGAGTATACTGAAACAGCACTAGTAAACGAAAGTCCGAAGTGATGCGACGAGCTGCACAAGACAACCAAGGGTTATTTGGTTCAACGATTGGCCAGACTTCTTGCAGGACGACGACGTGGACCACGATAAAAGTAGCTCGCAGCGCTACCAACTTCCCCTGCAAGCGCGGCAGGGTGGAGCGTGAGGATAAAGTTGCAAGACCACAAGGGGGATCGTCGAGCTGTGGAGTCGAATATCGAGTCTGGTGTACCTGGGGTTGTACGAGAAGAACGTGAGCAGCGGACTGATGACGAGGCGTTGGAGTTATTTATAGATGCCTGGAACGGCATGCACAAATCATTCGGGCGTATGAGGTTGTTGTGGGCCTATCCAGCTTGGCGGCGCCGGTAGAAGCAATGAGACTTATCATGAAGCCGAAGCGGATCAATACCCGACGTCTAGCAGTTCAGGGTGAATAGGACATGACATGAATGAGTATGGCGAACCCAGAATCACTCAAGGCCTACTTCGAGCGTTTATATTGTTATCGGGACAACTTCAGTGTGTACCTCGCGAATGGCATGCAGCGCAGGGTGCTGAAACGACAAGTTGGAGGTGCATGGCGAGAAAGTGATGATGATCATGTGCACGATTGAACGCAAATATCAGGCCGCGGTACTTCGGAGAAAACTTGACCCGTGGCAACCAGAGAAGTGGATTCATGGAGGACTGAAGAAAGGCGACGCGAGGCAGCCATGGGTGCTCAACTTATCTCATTTCACAGACTTCAAGCCGCAGGCTTCTCACACATAGCAAGGTTCCATGATGCGACCACGCGTCCTTCAGTATCAAGCACGACAAGGTATTAGATAGATTACCTACGCTGTTTGCCAATCAGGATCTACAGTTTGCTCGGGATTGGGTTCTGGGGGATTGCTTTTCTACTAGTGGACGAGTCGGGGACCTTGTGGCTTCGCCCGCTGGATGACATCTTCCCCTACAACGCGGAGGCCGCGCTGATTTCTGCAAAAACGCCCAATCCACTGGTGCAAGTTGCGATCGCAGATCTTTTCGTCACTGAGATGTGGTGTCCTGCCAGTGAGGTTGAACCACAGTGTGGCGAGAGTTTAACTCAACAAATGGCGCTGGCTGGCTTTATTGATGATTCAGCCTGCAAGCTCTTAGAGGCGAACATACCCGGCACACTCATCGGGAAGCTTGAACTAGGCAGCCGCTTGCAGAATCATGCACTTGATAAAGGTATGGGGGACGAAGGCGTTACACAGAACGTCAGCACGCAGGATGTAACTGACTTGCGATGAAGAGGAGCACACATAGCATCGCGCATCATACACAAGCACACCACACCGATATCTGGACGCACAAAGGATCACGCACGATATCTGCGAGGATTACAGGCAATCACATTCACACCCAAGTCATAGCTGGAGAACGAATGGGAGTCAAGCGAGCTATTATTCCATGGGGCGTTTCTGGGAGTCCCCTGGGAAGTTTAGGATCTAGCACTCCATAGTGAAGGGGCTGCTCGGGAACACTGCGCTCGGCGGATTGGAAGTGCGCGTGTGCGTGTGAAAGAAGATGCACATCTGAAAGAGGAAGCTTTGGTCTTACGTACTTGAAAGACTTATTGCGCGCAGCAGCCGTGCAATCCTTGGCGGCACGGCGGCCTTGGACGATGACCGGCAGCACATCCGCACCACCGTGCTACAGCTGCGTCGTCTTGCTACTTTGGTCGTCGAGTTGCGCATCAGGCGATTGAAGTGGCTCCAGGCACTGGAGCGGGACAGAGCCAGTGCCTGACGACATGCTCCAGGCACTCTGCCCCCGATGGGGAAATACTTTCGGAGGAGGGATCTGTCCAACCCCATGCACATCCTTGGGAAAGTCAGACTGAAGAAGATATGGAGACGTCGAAGGAAGCTGAGGCAGGTGTTCCGATGTGGGATATAGGACGGAAGTTGAGAAGTATACTGTTCGAGGGCTTTGGGGACGTCATGGATCGACTGCAACGTACTTCTGACTGAATGACTAACGACACCGACCACAAGCAAGATGAAGCAAGCAAAGCAGGAGAGCACTTTCATACACAAAGAAACACGAGCAGCTGGATACATGTGCACCTCGACCTGACCATAGTAAAAGATGTTGACCAAACACGATGTCAATACAATGGGAGGAAGTCATGGCCAACTACATGTGGGACGTTTTCTAAATGCTACAAATATGTGCATCGGCAAGATTGCCCTGCCAATCGTGGACGGTATGCGTGTGAGGTGACATCCCTCAAGGGATCTCGGTTGCCTTATTTCCGATGAGGGCTTCGGTCATTCGACGCTGAAGCTCAAGTGTTCCAAAGGCCATGTGTGTTTATATAGTTCCCTTTCCTTTCACTTCGCAACGGTGAAACAAACACTTCGACTGCTACAGAAAGGACAACCATCGTGGGCGAAACGTCTAGACCCGAGCTGGACACCTGTACTTTATGCCAGACGGCGCGGAGATGGAGAAAGAAAGTCGTGGATGAGGACAGGAGCAAGAGTCTCGCCGAGGACAGCAAAGCCACCAGACGGACGACGCCGACATGGACGGCGCGACCACCATCCTGCTGATGAAGAGCCTTATCGTGTATTGGGAGTCTCGTGTACGGCTACTGGAGTACGAATCCACGAGCACGGCGACTCTCGACAGGCAGCACCAGGTAGCGCCGGACGTCAGCTGAACGCACGCGGAGTACGCCGAGCCCAGGAAGAACTATTTCCCAGCGAGAATCTTGGTGCGCCAGCCCCCTGACGGATCCACGCTGGCCGTCTCGGGCAACTGGCAGTGCAAGGACAGCTCGGCGGGGCTGTCAAAGATGAAGCCCATCGTCGGCGGAGAGCTGAGAATCCGAAGGGGGGGGGAAGAAAACACGATCTCACAGGCCAGTGGGCTCGGGGGGGGAGCAGCGGTATTCCCTTGCTTCGACCAGCCGAAAGAAGCCCGATATGTCACGTCGGTTGCTCCGCCCGTTCGGGCCAACAGTGGCGCGCGACGAAGAAAGCGTGGCCATAGATATGATGGAAGACTAGGAGAAGCCAGATCATCCTCTCAACTGACTGTCATCACTGGAAGTGTCAAATACGTACTACCACAGGAGAGGCAAGATCATGAACTTTGAGACTATCTTGGAAGAGCTGATTCGGGCTACTGGCGGCAGTCTTACTTAGAGCAGGGCGCCGCGAGGCAACATGGCACGAAAACTGCTGAAGAGATCGACCGTCTAGTGGTTAATTTTGCCATTTGGAACTATGGTGAGTCCGCCCGGCACCTATGCTTCTGTCTTGGGTGATGGTATCTGGCCGACGCCCACTGCTTATTTCAAGATTGGTGGTTGTCTCTGTCGGAGTTCGAGCCTTGCGTGGACACGCAACCTGAATTTTTCGCGCCGGCGGCGAGGCAGAGGGTGACTGCGCTGGCGATGCGAGGCTCCAAGGGGGATGCCGTTGGAGCGAACTGTGCCACCATGCAGAGGAGGAGGGAGGGGAGGGCGCGGCCGAAGGAAAGCAGGGACGGGGCGGGCGGCTCGGGGGGCAGATCAGGCATCCTGAACACAAAGATGAAGGGGCCCCAGGACACACAAAAAAATACACACAAATAAAAAGATGCCCCATATTTTTCCATATTTTCTGGGTTTTTGTCTTCCCGCCCACTTCCCATCTTTTCCCATATTTTCCTGGGAGTCGACGATTCATTGTGTCTGTGTGCTTCTTCCCTCCTGAAAAGATGCTGCTGGAACCGCGGCTTCTGCAGACCGCGGCTTCTGCCCGCCTCCCCTCCTGCGACTTCATCACTGGGGGGCCGCGCCTCTGCCTCCGCGTCTGTGACGATGCCTCGTGGAGGGAGCACACGCTGTGGGGCAAAAAGCACAAACGCACTGTGCTGTGTGTCTGCGTTGGTCTTGTAGTGTGTGTTTTTGTTCCACTGATGTGCGAATTGAGTGTGTAGAGTGGGGAGTGTGGTAGAGTTTGGGGAGAATCGAGACTTGAGAGTGACTGTCTTGTTCTGTCTTGGTCTTGTCGTGTGTGTCAGAGTCTGGGAGGATCGAGATGAGCGAACGGCTCAAACCCCTCCCCCTTTGGTTTCTCTGCCCTGCCCGTCGTGCCCGGTGGCTAGGCCCCCGCATGGGCAGCTCTCTGCTGCCTCTGCCTCCGCGCGTGGTTCTCAGAGCTAGCAAGCTCAGGAGGCTGCACAGAAGCTGCACCCCCCCCCCCCCCAGGTCCTGCGAGGACCTGATCACTGAGACATTGAGCTGAATGGGTGTGAGCGAGCTCCTCCTACTCGTCCTAGTCCTCCTCTTCCTCATCATCCCTCCCTCCCTCACTCGGTCCCTTCTGCCCCTCTTCGCTCTCCCGCTTCCCCTCACATTCTCCCTCCCCCTTCCTCCCGCCGTCCCTCCTCCCTCTTGCATCCTCCGTCCCTCCTGCATCCAACCTCCCCCCTCCCTGTCCCCTCCTCCCTCCTCCAGCCCTCCTCCTCCCTCCTCCCTCCTCCCCCCTCCCCCCTGGCCGGCACTCCCGTCCAATCAACGACGACGACGAAAACGACGACGACGCCGACGCCGACGCCGACGACGCCGACGACGACGGCGACGACGGCGACGGCGACGGCGACGACGACGGCGACGACGACGCGGGCGGGCCTACCCCCTGGAGCCCGACGCGGCGCAGTTCGTGCCCCAGGGCGGAGAAGTTGCGCAGCGGCCACAGCGTGGCCGGCGGCGCGCAGCAGGAGGGGCTGCCGGCCGGCGGGCTGGCATCCTCGGGGACATCGAGGAGGCTCGAGGGGGCACCGAGGAGCACGGCATCGAGGAGGATCGAGGGGCATCCAGGGGCATCCTCGGGGCATTCGAGGAGGATCGAGGGGCACCGAGGAGCATGGAGCACAGAGTGGAATAGCATAGCATAGGAAAGCAAATAAAATACATTTGGACGCACGACATGGGTACGGAAAGAATGGGTACAGTGCCCAACAACAAATGTTGTCCCAAACCAACAGCGGCCGCTGTTGGGCAAGCGACCTTCTGTCTCAAATGGACACAGGCCGCGGCGGCGCGGACAGCGAGTCCTGTTCAAAATGAACAGGAACTGCTGTTGAGCATTGTACCCATCCTTTCCGTGCCCATCTCGTTCGTGCAGAATGGAGCACAGAGTGGAATAGCATAACACAGGAAAGCAAATGAAAGATAGAACAGGCTAGGAAGAACAGAATAGAGAACATGCAACAGAAAAGAGTAGGATCCAATTGGCTAGGACAGAACAGAATATCATCGAGGAAGATCGAGGGGCACGGAGGAGGATACAGGGCCGAGAAGGATCGAGGGTCGAGGATCGAGGAGTGAGGAGGGTCCAGAAGCGAAAGCTGCCAGCCGGCGGGCTGGCATCCTCGGGGCCGGGCCCCCTCCGGAGGGAATCGGAGATGGCACAAAGCGGGGGCTCGCCAATGGGCACAAGCCGCACCACAAGGGTCGTCTCCACTGGGAGAGGACGATGCAACATCCCACCAGACCTCTGGGAGTAGATGGTTTAAGATGTTTCTAATGGAACAGATTCGAATTCAGTGGTAAATCGGAGCTTGATCAAATAAAAAATAATTCAACATAACAGATTTGAATACACTAGGCTATGGTATAATCAAATAGAACAGACTGGAATATAATATAATCGAATAGTAGTATACAATGGAAATATGATAAGATACCACATATCATATAATCGAATATGATGAAATAACACTAATATCGAATATACTATTATATGACACCAGATAAAAACCCAATCAGATTTTTGTTGAGGTTATGGGGCTGTAGGGCTAGAAAGCTATAAGGTTATGAGGCTATAGGGCTACAGGGCTATTGGGCTATTGGGATATTTGGCTATAAGGCTGTAGAGCTATAGGGCTATAGGGCTATAAGGCTATGGGGCTATAGGGCTATAGGGCTATAGGGCTATTGGGCTATAGGGCTATAGGGCTAAAGGGCTATATAGGGCTATGGGGCTATAAAACTATAGGGCTATAGGGCTATAGGGCTATTGGGCTATATGCTATTGGGCTATTGGGCACCCCCGGCACCAGGGCACCTGGGCCCGGCCACCGAAATCGGCGACCAACCTCACCCGCCACCTGGGCACCCAGGCACCGCCGGGCACCGGGGCACCCGGGCACCCGGGCCCGGCCACCGAAATCGAGAGTTAGGGCACAGAGTGGACTGGCATAACATAAGAAAGCAAACAAAATAGTATAACATACTAGATCAGATATGATACATAAAATGCAATAGAAAATAATAAAACAGATTAGGCTAGGAGAGAACAAAATAGAATCGAAGAGGCCGTGGTATAGCACAAGTATATGGGATATAATCCAATGGAGTAAATAGAACCAAATGTT